ATGAAAAATGAAAAAAAAAAGAAAAAAAAGAGGAAAAAGGAATACTTAATTTGAAAACTTGAAAAAGCTATTTAGGTAGGAAGTATCTAATTTGAAAAGATCAATATCATTTAAAGATCTTACTAAACTAGGGTAAGGGTTGATAAGCTCAAAATGATTTAGGAATTTAATGGAATGAGTTTTTGAGAAACAATTTTGAATTAGAATTTAAAATTATCTGAATATTCATTATTTGGATATTGGTATCCCATTCAAACCGTCACAATGATTTGCTTTTATTCATATTTATATTGTTCTTAACTAGATTTCTTTTATTCTTTTCAATAATGAATACCCATTTCCTTTAATTTTTCTTATTCTTTACCATTTTTTGCATTCTCATAATTAATTGAGAAAATGTATGATTGTATTATATTTGTCATAAATTAGAATGATGACAAATAAATGAATGATAATGTTTTGCATTCTTTTGAAAAAAAATCTAGGATGACAATGGCAAGAAAAAAAATCAAACAAAAAATACCAAAAAGCCTGAAGAGATGATCTAAAAAGGCAAAGATGGTAACCAAATGATGAAAATTACAATAGATTAGTTAATAGAACTTACGAGTTATGATCAAATGATGAGAATGATAATTGATCAGTTGATGGAATTTATGACTTAAATTGTGAAATTATTAATATTGAGAAGTTGAAAATGGAAATACAAGAAGGTAGCTTGAGAACTTTATTACTACAATTAGAATTGCATGACATTAATTGACATTTGCATTACATGCCTTACATTCATGATAGTTATTTAAAGTATAAGAAAGTTTTGTTCTAGATTTTGAAATAAAACTCAGTTAAAAGGCTGAGAAGATTTTTTACGAAGACATAGATCCTTGGACAAAGAAAAATTTTCAAGATATGATTTAACCTTTAGATCAAAAATTTGGTAAGATTGTGATTCTCGATTACGAAAAATTTAATTAAGTGGACGGAAAAGATATTTTGAAAAGATTTTAACGTTGTTGAGCCTTTGTTTAGAAGAGTTTTTTTGGCCACAAGATGTGAATTTCTAATGTGAATCTTTTAGACATCGAATGGTAGATGTGAACTTTTTGAATTTGAATGTGAATCTCTAAAATTTTTTAGATGAAATTTTTTGAACCTTTCAAATGAGAATCTTTAAAATCTTGGATGTGATTCTCCAAAATTTTTTGAATGAGAATCCTTGAAATTTTAAATGTGAATCCCTAAATTTTGTCGAATGTGAATCTTTGAAATTTATACTTGAATCTCTAATGTGAATCTTTGAATCTTGGATGTAAATCTCTAATACTTTTCGAATGCAAATCTTAGAATTTTATATGTTAATCTCTAAAATTTTTTTAATGAGAATCTTTTAATTTTTTGAATGTGAATCTTTGAAATTTTGGATGTGAATCTCAAAAATTATTTTGAATGTGAATCTTTGAATCTCAGTTGCAAAGTTTTAAAATTTCATTTGTGAATCTTTGCAAAATATTTGCAAAATTTTATAATTGCGAATCTTTGAAATTAGTTGCAAATATTTGAAATTTGTAAATCTTTAAATTCTTGTGAATCTTTGAATCTTTTGTGAATTTTAAATCTTTTGCAAACCTTTGAAATTATTTGTAAAACCTTTGAATTTAATTATAAATCTTTAAACTTTAGATTAAGAGTTTTTGAATTTCAAATTGCAAGCCTCTAAATTTCAAGTTAAAAATCTTTGAATTTCAAATTATGAATGCTTGAATTTTCATTTACGACCTCTTTAATTTTAGTGGCAAATTGTGAATATTTATTTTAGATGAAAATCTCTAGAATTTTCTTCTTTCATATCAAATCCGGATGTAATGGATATCATGTCTTTACATAATTCCTATTACACAAAAAATACGCAAAAGGAGGCAACTATAGATACTCCATTTAGTTTGAGGTTTTAATTAAAGTTAAATTTCTATTTTATTTTTTATTTTGATTCTTTAAAAAGGAGAGAGTCTAAAATTAAAAAAGAGTTGGGATTGAAAAAGGATTGAAATCTTTAAAGGTGTGTTTTATTTGGATTTTTGAGGTTGAAACCAAGTAAAAAATATGCTAGGGCAATTGTTTTTAAATTTGGACTCCTATTGAAGTTAGGATTAAATATTTATTTAAAAAAGATAAATCAAGCACACAAAAAAGGGGGAGAAATGTAGAAAATTTTTATGGTGATCTTTTAATCTTTGGGATTTTTTGAAATTGAGTTCTTGTTAGATTTTAGGTTTTGATTTGGAGAAAGATTTGATTTAGAAGATTTGGATAAATAAAAATCAAAATCAGGTTTAGTGAATTGTTCAAGGAATTTTTTAAAATTCTTTTTCTCTTTTGTTGAGTACTTTAAATTTTTGGTTAAATTTTTCAGTGACTCAAGCAAGTTCAATTCATTTGACCTATTCTTTTTCTTCTATTCTCGTTTTACTTTTTGTTTGTATTTTATATTTATTTATTTTATATATTATTTTCTTTGTTTTTGGATTATTTAGTTTGATTATTTATGTTAATTTTTTTCCTTATTGTGCTTATTTATTTATTTAACATTTATTTGCTTATTCAATTTGTAAAAATTAATTGCAAAATAATTAGAAATAAATAAATTTCACCCAATGATGAAATTCCGAGGAAGTTACACCCATACAATTTTTTTAAAAAAATTTTAGGTGAAAGAATTTTTTCTAAATTTGATCAAAGCGTTGGAGGATTAGAAATTGATCTCAATATAAGAAAATTTATTTATTTCTAATTAGGAAAGAATTAAAACTTGTAACAAATTATGATTTTATTTAATTGCATGATTGATTATTGGATAAATTGTAATTACATGATTATTATATTTTATTGAATTATATGTTTTACTTTGTATATTTAAATTAATCTTTTCTCATAAAATATTTAATAAATCCAATGATGTAGGTTTTTCAAGGAAATAAGCATGTTATTTGAATACTTTTGAGATGAGAAATATTTTTAGGGGGTTGACCAAAGTGTTAGAAAAAATCTAAAAATATTTTCAATATTTAAATATTAAAATTAATAAAAATAATAAAATTGAATTAGGAATAAGTTATGACTATATTGAATTAAGGCTTTGACAAAATAATGTAAGATTAATTGATACCATTTTAAGATGGGCATTGTAAGGGTATTATAACTTTCTTTACATGTAACTGAATTCTTAAACCCAATTCTTTTTATAATACCATAATTTATTCTTTTAAAGGAACCCTTTATGAAGTTTAAGATAACCTTAAAATAAATAAATTTATTTAAGTGACCAATCGCATCTAATTAAAAAAGATTAGTAATGACTCCATGTATTGTCTTTGATTGGTTAGTTCTGATACATGCACGTTATAAACAAGTGGTAAATTATTTTTTAAAGAAAATTTTTAATAGATGTATGAATAATAAAACAATTCGTATCCAATAGATTTCGGTTTGTTTGGATCTAATATATGCGTTTTTTGTTTGGGATCAAATTGAAGTTTTTACATAAAAAGTTACTGTTAAGTTAAAAATAGCTTTACGGTGTTTCATCTTGCACTAACTATATATGTTAAATTATATTTTAAATTATTTATTTAATTTTATGTTAATAAAATTATTATTTAATATCTTAATTTAATAAAAATACTATATTTGTACACAATTGATATGTAATCTATAAATTATTTCATTCATTTATATAAATTTAATTCATTTTAAGTTTTGTTTTATCATCATTTGAAGTCTTAACGTACCTTTTTATATTTTATTTCCTTTTCTGCTTTTACTTCTTATAAATTTTTTATTTTTATTTAGATAAATTTTGTGTAAAATAGGATACCAATGCTCATGTAAGATCCCCATTTACTTTTTTTTTCTTTCAATTTTTTTAATTGAATGAATGTTTTAACAAAAGAAGCTTATTGATAATGATGACAAGACGATTTATATTTGATGGATCCCCACTCAATTAGGATGTTCATGTAGGATCATAATAAGTTTTCCTTTATTTTTTTTCTTTTTAAATTTGTTTACTTCCACTTTTTAAATTTTTTTTCTTTTTAATAAAAGTAATTTGTGTCTATGTGGTACTTCATTTGAGTTTTTTTTTTTACCTTTTTTGTATTTTTTAATTGGATAAATTTTAAAATGCAATGTGATAATCGATAAATATGTCAGAAAAATCCGTATCTTATGAATTTCGATCTATTTCAATATGATAAAAGAGTGACTTGTAAAAGTCTAAATTGAACTAAGATGGGTTAAATTTTTTAAGGAAAGCAATATTGGGTCAGAATTGTATTTATCATGTTTTGTTCTAATCCATTTCAAAATCTGTATAAAAATATATGTTTTTTATTTATTTAAATTTACTTATAAATATATGTTTTATATTAATAAAATAATTCTTTTATTTTAATTTAAAAAATTTATATTTTAAACTCAATATGAGCTTTCAATGTAACACCTTTTATTAGCTCTTTTTTTTTTTTAAACTCATTTTTAGTTTTTCTTTCCACTGTTTTCTAACCTTTTTCCCACCTTTCTTTTGTTTTTGATTTTTTTAGATTAATTTTATAAACAAAGACAAGTAGTCTAATTAAGTTATATGCGTTTCATTTCCCTTTTTTTCTTTCCTTTTTCATTTAATAAATTTTGTAACAAAAATATAAAGAATAGAAATGACAATGCAAAAAAATTTGAACCTTATTTAGACTAAACAATTCAAAATATGATATAAAAATAATACAAAAAATAATATAAAAAGTGATGTAAATTAAAATTTTAATGAAAAACATGAATTTAATAAAAATTAAAAAAATATATTTAATGTCCACATAAATTATAAGTTATAATTTTGATATAAAATGTAATGTAAATATACAAATTTTTACTATTTTATATTACATAAATTCATAAATTGTAGGATTACCAGTAACGCGCTTGCAGCTTTCGAATATAAAAAATATCTACGAAGTAAAATGAAAATCTAGAACTGTTCTATTTTTAATAGAATATATATGGTCAAAAAGAGATTTCGTGGAAGCTTTAAGTTTTGTGTTAATTGTAGGTCAAAAGCCGGCTTCTTCTACTTCTTTTTCTGTTACGCTTTATAATTTCTTCCTTACCTTCAAAAAAATCTTTTTTTTTAAATTGTTTCCATTTGCTTTCTTATTCTTATTTGGAAGTTGGATTCTTTTCATCCTTTGTTTTAGCTGATCTGATCGGGTAAAGGAAGAGAGAGGAGGATGCCCAAAAAGTTTTTTTTTTCTTTGTCTTTTTTAAATTTCTGTAAAAACAGGATTGCATATGACACGTTGATTAAGCTTTTTTTTTTTATTATTGTAAATCTGATACATTTCAGAAATTTGAAGAATTTTTTTGTGTTGGGTTTGATTTCTAAGGGATGGGTTGTTTTCCTTGTTTCGATTCAAGGGAAGAAGAGAAGTTAAATCCTGTCAAAGAGAACCATGATCGAGTGCAAGGGAGACCAACCGTTTACTCTAACATTTCCAGCTTATCTTCAGGTTAGCTTTTAAAAAAACATTTTTTAAAAATTAATTTCCTTATTTCTTGATCTGATCTGGGTCTTTCTGATTTATTACCTTATTTTTAAATATTAATTACCTTATTGTTTGCTATGTTTTGATGATGATGCTTGCTTTTTTGTTCTAAAATTTTTTCATTGTTGACAGTGTTTTATACATGTTTGATTTTGATGTTGTTTTCTAAAGGAATTAGGATCTAATGATGATCTTGATCACTTGACTGGTCTGTTTGATAGTTGGTTAGGTTGAAAAAATTGTAATTAATTCAATATCCATTATATAGACGCCTTGTAATTGATTGTAATTCAATATCTTAAACTAAAATTAGCTTACTTAGTATGATAAGCAAGCCCATCTTTTTGAAATTATAGCTTTATGGGGCTCATTATTGCCTTGGGAATTAAAATTTGTGTCTTTTCTCGAATAACCGATCTTGATAATTGAGATTGTATTCTTATTTCTTTTTAAATTGTTTCTATTCATTAAAATGGTAATTAGATCTTTAATAGTATATTTTTGGTGGACATGGCAGGTGGGGACAGGCTTAGATCAAGAGGTAATGGAGGGTCCGAAAGGGAACTACCAAGCCCCAGGGATGGGCCTGGTGTCCAAATCGCTGCTCAAACTTTTACTTTTTGTGAGCTTGCAGCTGCAACGAAGAATTTCATGCCGGAATCTTTCTTACGCGAAGGTGGATCTGGACGTGTGTATAAAGGGCAGCTCGAGTGTTCTGGTCAGGTAATCGTATTATTGTTGCAATGTTTTCACAAAATATTTAAAGCATATGAATATAATGTAGCTGCAATAATTAAGCTGAGCCACTTTACTTGGTTTGCTCAAACCTTGTTTCCTATCTTATACTCTGAAAGGAATTCTTACATTCAGCCATTCATAGAAGTTATATTGATATTTTGGGGTTGAAGACTGGGTATCTGTAAATAAAATAATACGTTTTATCTAAGATTCTAACATTTATTAACATAGCACATGACGCATTAGTAAAATTGGCAACTTCACCATTAAGAATGTATTTGGTAAAATTACCAACTATAGTTAGTTTGCTCTCTTCTTCAGGATTTTCAAATACTCTAAATTACTTGCTTTGCATTCTCATCTAGCTCCTTTTGAATAACCTATAACTGGTTCAATCTTAGTGAACGTTTATTGAAAGGTTAAATTATTGAATTTGGATGCAGCTCTTAAATTTGATAACTCCCAATCTATAGTGTTTTATCCATTGAAGATGATCTAATTAATATCTGAGTATGGTTGATCCTCTAGTAAAAGAGAGCAGCATTCATCCTCCTGGCGTCTGTTGCTGATAAAATGTGGTTTTTCTGTCTAAATCCTCCACTTGATGTTGTCATGATGTAGCTGAAGTCTGGGATGAGTCTGAAAATTCTATTGCTGCATGCAGCATCTGTTATTATTATTAGACTAATTTTCTAACAGAAGAAATATTATAGAAGTACTAGAATTAGACCCGCACTTCATTGTGGGATAATTTTTTATTTTTTCTAAATTATGTTTATGTCTTAAATATGAGAGATGTAAAATTTTTATGGCAAGTTTTAATGGATGACAACATATAGACAAATATAAGTGTATTTATTTTTTTAATATAAATTATAACTTAATTATATATAAATGTAGTTTTTTATTAAATTAAAGTATTAAATGATATCTTTATTAATATAATATATATAAATATAAATTAAATAAATAATAAAATATATTCTTTTATATATTTGGAGGACAGTCAAGGCAAAGCACCCCAAATCCGATCTTGACTTGATTCAAATTGTTCAAAAAAGCAAAACTCAACCCAATCCTTATTAAAAAATATATTGATTGGATCGTGGTTAATTGAAACCTATCATATATAAATTGTTTTGTTATTTCTACATTCATTTAAAAGGATGTTAATAAGTAGGATATGAAGTAGGTAAAGCATTTTCCATTCCCATTCCTAGTTTTTTATATTATGCTCATCTCCATATCTATACTCAATGGATATTTTAAATTCATCCCATCCCTATTCCCATGGGTATTTAATGGATATGGATAATCTCTGTACTTGTAACTTTTTTAAAAAAATAATAAATAATAAATTTTTTAAAGATTTTTTATTTTTATCTTGCACATTTATTTATAAATATATATATATTTTAAATACAAATATATTAGTTCTAATTAATTTAGAATAAAACTTATATTATTAAATAGAAAATTAATTTATTAAATATATATAAATATATATAAGGTATGTGTATGGAGTGGGTGCTATATTATCTATCTTGTACCCATACCTAATAAAAAATTTAAAATCATATCCATCCCTGTCTTTATCCTCAAAATTTAATACCCATCCCATCCTCATTTGGGTAAAAAATTGGATTTCCCATCGAGTTTGGGTAAAATAGATATCTTAACATCAATTGATTTTTTATTTATAAAATTTATCTAATAAATAAAATTTTAAAAAACAAAGAAAACGAAAAAAAGGCAAATGGGATGGTACTTAAATTTATTAAATTAAGATATTAAATAATATTTTTTAATAATATATACAAATATAGAATTAAATAAATAATAAAATATATATTTTATACATACCAAAGCCGAGACTTAATATTCAAAATCTTGCTTTGACCTAAACTTGATTTAAAAAAAATTCAATTCAACTATTTCAAATTAAAAGAAAGCACACCAATTGGATCTAGATGAATATAAATTCATCATACACGAGTTATTTTGTTATCTTTATTTTAATTGACTTTTTTATTGCAAATTTTATCTAATATAAAACAAAAGTAAAAAATTTAAAAAAAAAAAAAAAAAAGAAACTCAAAAAAAGGTAAAAGCTTTAAAAAAACCAAGGAAAAAAAAAAAAAAAGAGAGGTGCCACTTGGATACTCGAGACTAGGTAGGACACCTTAAATCCATCTCCAACCTGGCTCCATTAAAAAATAAAATAAAACCTCAATGTGATCTTGATTTAAAGAAAAAAAATGCATTTATGTTGGATTGGTACAAATCAAAACCAATCGAATAAGGGTCGTTTCATCATCCTTACATCTATTGACTCTTTTTTACAAATTTATCTAATAAGAAAATAAAAAATAAATAAAATGTTAAAAAAAATAGATTTAATAAAAAAATAAAAAAATAAAAATGAAATGGTTGAGAATGAAGGGAGGGGTGCCACGTGGACACTCCTCTCCTTCCCCTATTCTCTACAAAATTAATATTATGGATATTTAACTAGACTTGGAAATTTGTATATTCATGCCGTGTAAAATACTGATAATTCATATATTCATAGTGTGTTCTACATGAATGTTGTGTGTTGACAGAAAACATGGAATACATTTGTTTGGTTTTATTAAACTCTTATATGGTTTTTGTTAAAATTTTAAACCGTGTCATCTTCTTGTTGTTTATTTATATTGTTTTTGGGTTTTGTTACTATGTCATGTTTTAGATTATTGGGTCTATATCTAACCATGCAATTGGTATAACAAAGTTTATGTCTGTTAAAATTATTTTTGTCCCTTGTAGCAAGATTGTCATACATGTGTATGAAACGTTTGAAAGAGGATCTCTGGGGTTTCTCCTTAAATTACACAAATTGATGGTTCTAGTAGTTGGGATAACTAGCTATACCTTTTATGGCTTGAGGAGTTCATGCCATATGTCTCTTAGATGTATACTTTTTTGCCTTTTCAGGTGGTTGCAGTCAAACGGTTGGATAGAAATGGTCTCCAGGGTAACAGGGAATTTCTGGTTGAGGTTCTCATTCTAAGCGTTCTTCATCATCCTAATCTAGTTAACCTGATTGGTTATTGTGCTGATGGAGATCAGCGGCTTCTTGTCTATGAATTCATGCCCTTGGGATCCTTGGAAGATCACCTTCATGGTAATATTTGGTGCACTTCTAGTGCTCTAGTGATATAAATTCTTTTTCGCAATAATAAATTTTATCCAGAGCAACTGTTCCTACGGCAAGCTTTAGAGCTTGACAAAGCTATATTCAACTTATGAATTTTAGCACTTTGAGTTTGGTGTAGCATGTCATTGTTAGGGTAAGGAACTTACAAACTTTTTGTAGACATTATTTTTCTAGCTCCATAGATTTTTCATTGGAGACAATGTTGTTCTGAAGAGGTAGGTAGTGTTATCCAAAGATACTGAAATGAGTATCTTTGACTGGATATGTTGCTAACAGATTTGGGTAGAACATATTATTTGGTCATCTTTCATGCCTGTTGTTTTTGTAAGTTGAACAATACATGAGATCATCTTGCTAGAAGAAAATATTTAAACTTTTACATCATTTCAAATTTCAAATTTAGGCATTTATCATTCATTCTCATGTGGTGAATATATTATTGTTTTCTTTTAGTCTTGAAAAGTCAGTAATATTCAAGTAAGCTTCTAACAGCATGCGAAATAAATGATAAATAATTGCCCATGAGGCTTTGTAGTTATCTATGCTTCTAGTTATCAAAGATAATTTCTTTTTGTTAGCAAGTAAAGCATTAGCATAATTATTCATAACAGCCTTAAATAAATTACTTAAATATTTTAGGGCATTGCTGAATTATTCACTCTCTTTTTTTTTTTTTGTGTGTGTCTGTTATCGATTAGTTAAAGTCAAATTAAACATTTTCTTGTCTAATAACAAGATATTCTTATACTGTTTCTATATAAAACAACTTCAGTTATTCTCTTGTTGTTTTTCCATGATATTTTTTATTGATATAGTGTCAAATCTATTTGAGGTGTCATAGGAGCTTGTATTATTGTGGACTACCAATAGAGATAGGTGTAAATAGAGTTAGAGCAAAAACAAAGAGAAAAGGGAGTGGTGAAGTGTTTATTTCGTCTCCTTTCTATATGTACTCATGCATCTGATCTGTTTTTGGACGGTCAAGTCATTTTAATCTGTTTATCTTGCATGGTAGATACTTAGTTGTGGCTTTAAATATATTTTAATCTGTTTATCTTACTTTGTAGATACTTAGCTGTGGTTTTTACATGTATGTACTGATGAGGTTAATATATTTCTATAATTAAAAGTAATGTACTTGCAACATTAATGTTTGTGCTTATAATTTTGGATAAAACTTTGTTGGAATAGTTGTCATGTTGGGTTTTTCTGCCATACTTTATAGTTTGAGAATTCATACTGGAAAGTTTTAACGGAATCCAAGTCTGTTGAGTTTTGCTATCTATGAGACGAGGACATTGTTGTACTCCTTAGTTTTCAACATGAGTTCAAGATGACCTTGTGACTTGGCTATTTGACAGCTATATTTTATTAGATTGAGGTTGAGCTTGGCATTGTGGTTGACATGCAAAACCATGGTTTGCACTGCAACTGCTATGCCAAACGATGTGAACATTTTCAGCCTAATACCTCCATGATAAAGCAAATCCTCCAACATATTACTGGATGAAGGATTTCACCCGAAGTTATCTGATTTTGGGCTTGCCAAACTTGGTCCTGTTGGAGATAAATCACATGTTTCTACCAGGGTTATGGGCACATATGGTTATTGTGCTCCTGAGTATGCCATGACTGGTCAATTGACTGTGAAATCTGATGTTTATAGTTTCGGGGTTGTCTTCTTAGAGCTAATTACTGGACGGAAAGCATTTGACAGCACCCAACCCCACGGGGAACAGAACCTTGTCACATGGGTAATGCATTTGAAGTGTTTTTGTAGTTTGGTTGGCCTATCATGTTGTGGAGAGTTGGTGTGAGTGAAGCAAGTAATGGCTAAAACTATTTAATAATGGAGGTTTTCTTTTTTCCTGCTTTATTTATATACAGGCACGTCCATTATTCAATGACCGCCGCAAATTTTCAAAATTGGCTGATCCACGATTGCAGGGACGATATCCAATGCGAGGTCTCTACCAAGCCCTAGATGTGGCATCCTTGTGCATTCAAGAGCAGGCTGCCGCACGTCCTCTGATTGGGGATGTGGTCACTGCTCTCTCGTATTTGGCAAATCAGGCATATGATCCTAATGCAGCAGGGCATGGCTACAGAGGCTCAGGAGATAAGGATGATAAAAGATGTAGAGATGACAGAGGAGGAAGGGCATCAAGGAATGATGGAGCATCTGGCTGTAGGTGGGATTTGGAAGGATCTGAGAAGGATGACTCCCCTAGAGAAACTGCCAGGATTTTGAATAGGGATTTAGAGTAAAGACGTCTGGGTCAATGTTATCCTTGCTCTTGTAGGGTCCCCTTATGTGAGAAACTTTTCAGTTGTCTGTACGTTGTGGTCTTCGTTGCACAAAACACACTTTACCAACTTCTTTAGATAATTTTCAACCAATTTTTTGTTACTGTATATTTCAACGAGCCGTCTGGCTCTCATCAAAAGGCTATGTTTCAAGTTAGCCGGGTTTCAACTTTCTGGTCTCCCTCTTTCAACTCTTTATCTGCTCCTTGTCATATCGTTATGGTTATTCATTTTGTTTTAGGCCTTCGTTATAAAAAATTTTGTTAGTCTCAAATATATAAAAAAAAAAAAAGGGAAAAATAGGATAGATGAGATAAAATTCTAGAGATTACCGTAACTAAAACTGACAACAATTTGAATCAGATTGGGTACGAATTTTAAGATAATATATAATATTATAAAATTTTAAAATTTAATATAAAATAAAATTGATTTTTTTTTAAAATCAATTTGATTTAAATTAAATTTTATTAATTTAGTTTAATTTTTTTATTTTTAAAATTTATTTTTTATGTATTATATTAATATGATTTTTAATATTTTAAAATAAATTTAAATATAAAATAATTAATTTTATTTTATAAAAATTTAAAATTTATATAAAAATTAATAAAAATATATAATTTGATTTGATTAAATTTTTTTTAGTTTTTACTTTTTATCCAAAGATTTTCACACATAAATTCACATAATTAGAAAAGATAAATTCACTTAGGTGTTTAATCACACATAATTAAAAAAGATTGATGATGATTTCATGTGTTGTGTCAAATGGGTTAGTTCTCAAACTTACACGTTATGACAAAAATTTATCTAAAAATTAATTTTTTTGTTTGCGAAAATAATTTTAGTTTAGAAGTATAGTTATATGTGAAAAAGGATCAACAATCCCACAATACAAGTTTTAAAATGGTACTAATTAATTTTGTGTCATCCTTTAATCTTAACAAAAGTAGTCTTGATTTTGATGTAAGAAAATAATTCTCATAGCTCTTTTTGCTGTTACAATTTTTTTTTTTAACTTTGTTTCTTTTTTCGCAACATTTTATTTTTTTAAAAAAAATTTACCATTATCATTTTTATTTGAAAAATAAACTAAATGCTTATTGAAGAACTCTGGAAATGTTTCAATATGTTGGTAATATTAAAAAAGATTTTCTTATCTAGTGATTTCTCAGGAATCAATACTTGTATTTATTTAAAATCCCAACCTCGAAAGTTTGTTTAATTTTCAAAATTAATTAATGCGTATGATGTGCAAATAATGCTCGTGCATATATTAAATGTGACTTTATTCCTTTTAGAAAACTTTTTTTTCTTTTTCCCATTCTCTTTCATTTTTTTAATTAAAACAAAAAAAAAGTAAATGAAAAGCTTTTTGTATTGAATATTTTTCTAAATACTTAAATACTTTGATAGTATTTTAAAAAAAATTCTTACCTAAAGATTTTTAAAAAATCGTTATTTAGATTTCTTTAGTATCTCATCCTTAAATTTTGCTTTATTTTTATTGTTATGAATGTATATGATACAAGAGTATGTACATGATACAAATAATGATAGAAAATTAAATTTACAATTTTAAAATTATCCAACTATTTGAATTTTGAAACCATATTTCATTTAGATTTTCCTCATCACTTAATTAAGGTAATCTTAATGATGTTAAAACATGTACTCACCTAAGATCAAACATAAATATGCATGAAATTAAATGAAAAAAACACACAAACAAAATAGTTTAAAAAATTACCAAACTATTGGGTTTGACCCAATTAAGAGGAAAGTCCAAAATTGCTGATGCACTCCTATTACATTTTATTTTGAGCTTTATATATTATCCTTTATTTATTTATTTTAGCCACAATAATAAACCCAAAACTTTTCTTTGATTATTATCTCTTTTTTATTTTTTATTTTTTATTTTTACCTAACCCAATATGCTTACTTGTTTTTGGACATTATTTATTTGGGAGGAAAAGAGGCACAAGGAATGTAAAAAAAGAAAAAAAATAGGCAAAAGAAAAGGAAAAAGCTAGGCAAAAGCCTAAATAAAGCTAAAAATGGCTATGCAAAAAAAATAATTAATTAAATACCAAAAATAAGTTAATGCCTCAAAGTCAAAAAGTTCTCAACTGTTCAATCTTTAGTCCAAAAATTTCAAGAAGTAAGCAAAGGTTATTGAGCCTAAATTTCCTTTTTCCTACCTTGACCCAAACCGTGTATTACAAGCTTAAAAGATCTTTTGATCTTGAGTCAAGTACATAAGTCTAACACTAGTGAGAGGGACAAAGAACTTACATATGAAATTTATTCTATCTTTAAGTTGAAATGTGATAAAATGTTTTACATTCTTTTTACTTGAGTTATATGTATGAATTAAAGATGGAGTAATTTCATATGTATAGAGATTATAAGATATTGAGAGCCTGTTTTTTGAAGAAATTTCTTATGAATCTATGTTTATAGTTAATTTTGTTTTATGCGATAGTACATGAATAAAAGTTTATGAAAATTTGACTTTGTGAGTATATATAATGATGTTTAGTTTTGTTGATTTGAGAATTTTGATTGAGGATAAGTAAAGACTTAAGTGTGGTGGTGTGATAACAACTAAATTTATAGTAATTTTACAAGTTAAAATGGGTGCAAAATTTTAAATTTTGATTAAACTTGGTGCTATTAATGCTATTTTCTTGATTTTTAAGGTTTCAGACCATAGAACATGATTCATATGCAATCCATACATGTAGGCATGTAAGATAATAGTTGGCCATGCAATAAAGATGAGTGGTTGAACCTTATTAGCCTTCCATTCGGCTAAGAGATGAATTTTACATTCATAAAGACTCTGCATCCATTTGGCTGGATCATTTCCAAGAAGATGTGATGTACATTTGAAGAATTTCACTTGCAGTGGGATACATACATTCGGCTAAATCAACTTCTAAGAAGATTACAAGCACACTTGAAGAAGTTTAAGCACACAAGTACACTAAAAGCATTTGGCCAAAGATGTTTGAATTTAACCATGACTATTTGATAACCCATTTAAAGAGCTATGATGGAAGAAGAACTTTAGCAAGATAAATCTTAAAGATAATTGAAGGAAAATCAAATATCTTGTCTTAGATCCCAAGCTCTAATAGAACCTATCATGAAGCAAGATCAAGATATGCATTTGATGATGAATGGCCAAGATAAATCCCAAAGACCCCTATTTGACCAAGACACTTAAAAGCCAAGAGTCCCATTTGGCCATGCTTCCTTAAAGATGAATATGAGCCTTATCTTTTAGAATTTGAATAGGAATTGATCTTGCAATCCTTATCCCCCTCTAGTCAACCCTCCATCCATAAATAGAGAGGCTAGTTCATATCTCAAGCATTTTATCTCATTCCTCACATTTTTCTTTCTTTTTTTTTTAGTTCTCTTTTAGTCTTTAGTCTTTTAAGCTTTCTTTTAATTGGCTTAGGTGATAGATTTACCAATACAAGTGTTTTCTAAATTCTTTTTTTTAATCAAAGCATTTTTTCATGCAGAATTTAGTTTTCTATAAAGCTTTCATACACATTTTTTGGTTTTACAATATTGTTTACAAGTTTTTATAGTTTTGACAATCATTCTTCCCATCCTATTCTTTTTAGTTTTTAATCAAGCAATCCTGCTTCCTTCATTTAAGTTTTGGTTCATGCAATCTTGTTTTATATTGCTAAACTTTCGACCTTTCTTAATATTATTGTTTCCAAAGTTTAATTCTTATTTTCTTTAGATCTTGTTAATTTGGCGACAATCTTATTATTTACCAAGTGATAGTTGGTTAATTAAAATCTAAGTCTACACAATTGTTTTCAATATTTCATTTTTTGTTTCGCAAATCAACCTAAGTTTTCTTAGTTTAGATATAAAAGTTTATTCTATCACTTTTAGTATTTGAATCCTCCTAACAATCAATTCTATAATCCTTGTGGGATGGTACTCTAGTACTTATCGCTTTATTACATGATTCGATCTATGCACTTGTAGACATTGCAAAAATAGGCAATCAAGTTTTTGGTACCGTTGCTGGGGATTATAGCGATGTTCAATTTAATATCAATAAGGATTCTCTACTCTTTTGTAATCTAAACATTTACTTTTATTTACTTTAATCTGTTTTAATCTTTTTTTGTTTGTATGTGCAGATCTAAAAATGTTGACCTAGCTCCTATTGATCAAGAGATTGAAAGAACTTTTAGATAACAAACAAAAGAGCAGTTAGTACCACCTACACCAACACCAATAGTGAATGCAAACAATGAAGAACAAAGAATGATGAAGGATTATGTAGTTCTTAATGTCGATGGTTTCCAACCATCCATACGAAGGCTAGCCATTCAAGCAAATAACTTTGTGATCCAGCCTTTGATAATCCAAATGATCCAAATTACTATATAGTTTGGTGATTTACCAAATGGTGATCTTAACCTTTACTTATCTATTTTTTTAGAATCGTATGATACATTTAAATGCAATGGTGTTTCAAATGATGTAATACGACTAAGACTTTTTCCTTTTTCTTTCAAGGGCAAGGTGAAAAGTTGGCTAATTTCACTACCATCTAGCTCTATCACAACTTAGGTAGATTTGGTGCAAAAGTTTCTTGTGAAATACTTTTCACCTACAAAAATTGTCAAGTTGAGGAATGAAATCACTGCTTTTATGCAAGTGGATGGCGAAAACTTTTATAATACGTGGGAAAGATTTAAACAACTATTGAGAAAGTGTCCGCACCATGGTCTTCTCTAATGGTTACAAATTTAGATTTTCTATAATGGTCTCACTCTAACCATGATAACCACTTTGGATAAAGCTCATAAAAGAGCCATTATAAGTAAAATTCTAAGGAGGCTCATAAGTTGATCGAAGAGATAGCTAACAACAATTATCATTGGGGTATAGAAATAAAGGCAAATAAGAAATCTACTGGTGTTTATGAGTTAGACACTTTTACTTCCATAATTTCACACTTGGCAGCCTTAACCAAAAAGATTGAAACTTTAGGAGCCTTATCCCAAACCAACCCTGTCCAGGCAATTCAAAATCTTTTACTTCCTGTGATATATGTGATGGATTGCTCTTTAGTGCAAAGTACCAATTTAGGATAGAAATAGTTCAATATGCCCAATAGTATAAGCCTAACTATAACCCTTATAGTAATACATATAACCCAAGTTGGTGAAACCCCCTATATTTTCTTGGAATCAACCCAACCACCAACCACCAACCCACAAACCAAAACAATTTCTACTCTAACCCACAAACCGATAACCCACCCTA